CCACCCATGTATGGGATTGATGTCTCAGGAGCTGGGGGGTTGAAGGTGCTAAGACTGGCTCAACCTTGTAGTTTTCTGAAAAAGGCAAGTGTACCTGCATTTTGGAGAGGGCAAGCCAGGCAATCAGAAGGGATAGAGTTTGGAGGCAGGTGGAGAGGAGGCACGGGGTCCAAGACAAACAGCAATTCGCAGAGAACTCTGCTATAGAGCAATGGGAGGTTGGAGGGGAGAGGCAGGGCAGGAGGTTTGGCAGGCGATGGGGCAAAGGTAGAAGGAAATTTCATGGGAGGCCCTCAGCTAAGTACACGACATGCAGAAAATAGGGCTGGCTGGCCAGGACAAAGACACATGTTCCCAAACCAAACCTTGTTCTTGGTCCTGTGTCCCCTGCCCCCTCTCCTCGAAGTTAGAGCAAAGCCCTTCCCGGACTCAGAGGCCTGATTTGGTTCCAGCTCTGCCCCTTACCTACTGTCTGCCTTTGTCAAGTAACCTCTTTATGATGTTCACCTTTACGAGGGAGGAGGCCAAATGATGACTGTGTCAGCGAGACCCCCATCTGTCAGTCCTCAGAAATGTAGGCCCATGGTGCCGTGATTCCAAAGACTACTGCCCAGTTGGCCCCAAAACTGGTCTGCCCTGAGTCCTCAGAGGGTGGGGATGGAGTGGCATTTTCAGTGACATTCAGTGCATGTCCAATTTCCAGTGGCCCATTCACCTTTCCCACGGCCTTGGGAGGGGCTCCCAGATCAACCTGTCACCTGCCCCCAAACTCACATTGATTTGCCCTGAGTGTTAGCAACCAGTGGGAGTAACCCCCTCAGTCCCATCGCTAGAAAAGGCTGAGGGAGGAGTAGCTGAGCATCCCATGGCATCTCGGGAACCAGTCACTCCTCTGGGATACTTACTACCAAAATCAGGACCGGAATGTGATGACAGGTGGTGGATTCTGGCAGGGACCTGTTGCCCCTGGGAAAGAAATGGCAATCTCTCGTCAGACCCTCCAGTACTCATTCAAGAAAAGCTCTGGGCTGGTCTGAGGAGTGGCCAGGAGCAGCCTGTGGAGTCCATTCAGGAAAAATGATGCCTCCTAGGCTCTGTGCTGGGAAGCTCTACCACTCATCCTTAAGGCTCATTACACCTACTTAAGCTCACAGGAACACCGAGTTCACAACATGCTTTCCAGCCTTGGGTGAAATGCCAACACACAGCAAGATTCAGTCATCTTTATTTCTACCCAATGATTCCTTGATCCAACACGTTAATTATATTTTATCTTCCAAGAGGGAAATAGCAAAGGAGAATGTTGCCAAACTAAACTACCTTTCTTACTTCCAAATAGTACTATTTCTAATCAGTTAAATGCAAAACAATATTATTAATAGAGTATTCTAAATCCTTTGCCTGTGTTAGCTTAATCCCCACACCATCCCTATAAAGTGGATACTATCATTATCCCCATTTTGCAGATGAGGAAACTGAGAAACAGAGAGGTTAAGTGACTTGTTATTGGTTAGTAGTTAATATCATTTTTAAATATATATTTTTTTATTGATTTCAGAGAGGAAGGGAGAGGGAAAAGGAGAGATAGAAACATTAATGATGGGAGAGAATGATCTATCACCAAGATGATATAGCACATAAGAGGTAAATTAGGGATTTAAATCCAGACAACTTGGCTTCAGATCCTTGCTCTCACTGGCAGAAATAATTTCCTGTCCTTTATAAGTGAACTTGATGGTGACAGTCCTACCTTGAGCAAGAATTGGAGGTATTTTTAACTGATTCATCTACACTCATTTGCCCAGCCTCACTCACCACCAACTACTCATGTTTTTTAGATGCCTGGGTGATCGAGTATAGAAAGAGGATGATGGCCCAGGGGCCAAGGTCTTTGGCTCAGACAATAGGCACTTATAAACTCTTTGCCCACTACAAACCAGAGTGGCCTCGGGTATGTATGACAGACTCCTGGGGTCTATCCACCCAGATGTGAGGAATAACTGAGCAGGCCAAGACTTCACTGAAGTCACAGGTTCCACCTTCCAAAAGCCATCCAAACAGGGTTTCAGATACAAACGCATGTGACTAAACAGCTTCCATACTTGTGTCTAGGTTACAGCTGTCCTATTGAATATCCATTTCCTTCTTGCCTTTGAAAGTTCTCCACTGATACTGACACTTTTCAACACTAGCCACATAAAAACATTCAGGTTCTAAATACAGCTGGTATTATACGCTGGGACACAGTAATTCTTTCAGAGTAATTCTGGGAACAAAATGCTTTCAGAGAGTGGGCAGTAAAATGATATTAACTACCGCCGGCTGGTGTGGCTCAGTGGTTGAGCATCAACCTATGAACCAGGAGGTCACAGTTCCATTCCTGGTCAGGGCACATGCCCCGGTTGCAGGCTCGATCCCCAGTGGAGCGCATGCAGGAGGCATCTGATTGATGATTCTCATCACTGATGTTTCTATCTCTCCTTTTCCCTCTCCCTTCCTCTCTGAAATCAATAAAAATATATTTTTAATGATATTAACTACTAACCAATAACAATATTTGTCACAGGCTAACATGCACACTTTGCCAACCATTATGCATGAATAATCTCATTTAAATCACAAAAACTTATTTTACTGAGGAAGAAACTGAAGCATAGAGAAGGTAATTAACTTGCTTACAACCACTCAGCTAATAAGTGGAAGACATGAAGAGTGTGGCCTTTGAGGAATTTTATTATTTCCAAACACATGAGGCTGTGGGGTTACAAAATAATAGAAATCCCAGTCCCTGCCCCCACAAGTTGTCATTCTAACAAAGAGAGGACATAAACGAAACAGAAGTCACTAACTTAATGCAACCAATGTTTATTGAACACATGCTATGTGCCAGTCGCTCGAGGTACTGGGGAGACAGTGGCCTCAGGGAGCTTTCAGTTTATTGGGAACACAGACAGAAACCCAAAATAAAGAATTATAAAGAAAAATTATATGAGTAAATGCTGAAGTATTTCATAGAAGATGCTTTGGGACGATTCCTCTGAGGCGGTAATAGCAGTGAGACAGTAAGTATCAGGAAAAAGTAACATTTTCAGGGGCCAGGGATTGGTCCACGAAGCCCTGGGATCTGTGTGCCTGTGCTCAGGAGGGTTGGAGAATGGACTGGGAGAGGGGGCATGTTTCAGGCGAAGGTATCAGAATGGGCACGCAGAACTGGGCCTGACGCTGGTGAGAGTGGTCAGCTGCTCCATCTGACCACCACACAGCACGTGAGCAGGAGGAAAGGGAGAGGAATTTGGAATTGTGGGAAATGCTGGAGAAGGGAAGGTCTTCTACCGCCTAACGTCTCTTGTGCTTGACCTCGATCCCTCCTCCTGCTGTCTTGGTTCAGGCTCACCCTCCAATCTGATCTCACACTACCATCAGAGGGATGGTCTAAAAAGGCAAACCTTCCCATCCATGACTCACTGCTGCTCCCAAACCCCTCCACAGGCTGGGCATGTTTTCAGGAGAAAGGGACAGGCTCCTTAACTGTGGCACATGGGGCCCTCTGGGCCCAGCCCCACCTGCCCCCCATCTCCTCTCTCTCCTTCAGGCTGCTCAGCCTCCAGGAGCCCTCCCTGTATCCAGCCAGGGACTGACTGCCCTGCAGGACCGGGCATTGCTTTTGGCCTTCGTCCCCACCAGGGCCGAGCTGAAGGAGAGCCAGGGGCTGCTTCGCCCTCCCTGCGGCCCCACTTGTAATCTGTGCTCCTCTCAGCACAGCGGGACTCGATTGTGACCGTCAGAAGAGGCCTCCCTGCTGCGGAGAGGAGTCTCTCTCTAGGTGTGGGTTCCTGGACAGATTTTTATCTGTCACTCTGCTGCCTTTCTTTAAATTGTGTTCATCAAGAACACAGTTCCTCATTTGTATGTGCGTCTCGCAGCCTGCTTTCACTATGAGGTAGAAAACATCTATTTGCATTTTCCTCCCTTCCTCCCAACACCCACAACTTTCGGAAAAAAAATTTTTTCACTCTACAGGGCAAAACACACTGTTATTGATGTTTCCCTCCCTTGGAATGTTTTCTTGGCTTTCCATTCTTCTTGCCTGCGCAGCACACCGGACCTGTGGAAACGCAGAGGTCCCAACAGCACTGATCCATCTCCAAGCCGCTCATTGGCTCAAGTACACAGTTTCACAAGATGGGAGTGGTATGAGGAGTGAGGATCAGCAGGCCCAAAAATAAGGCAATGGGTTCTTGGCCTCTGAGCAGGACTGCAGATTAATTGTTAAACCGGAAAATGCCCTTGAGGAATATAGACACAGCTTTGAAGTATCTAGGAACACATTTAATGACCCGAAGACAAACTTCAAGAGATGAAAAAGCTAGTGTTTTTTGAACTACTTCTACACAACAAGCCTTTTACGAGCACTGTGCGTTGGTGTGAAACAGAGAGGATTCCTGCCCCTAAGAGGCCCACAGTCTACTGAACTGTCCATCACTCCTGACAGTAAATAAGCACCCAAAAGGTGGCCTGTGGAAAGGAGAGGAGATGTTTGAGGCTGGACAGATCCGTGGGTGACTAAAATTGCCTGTGAACCATGGAGGTGGACTCCAAGTTGAAGGGGGTGAAGAGAGAGGGGAAGGCCTTGGCAAAATTGGAAGGAAGAAGCAGGAAAATCCAATCTATGGATGAAAGGGCAGCTCATGGCAGCTGGGCTACCTCCTGGTATATTGAAGTGAGAGGGGAAGGTGGCGTGATTTGTTCACCACTTGTCTTCCATGCTGAACTTGAAGTTGTATGAGGGTGTGGACAATGTTGTTGTTGTTCATCTCTACCCCTAAAATTAAGCAACATTCCTGCCATAGAATAACTGCTTTATGAATATTATTAAAATTAAACATTAGATGAATAAATAGATGTTTTGGATATAAGGTCAGATACACTGTAAGCCAGTTGAGTCAAGCATTTCAACCATGACCTCTGATCTTACTTTGAAACAAAAGAGTAGATAGGGAGATAAGAAAGCTAGTGTTTATTGAATTACTACTACGTAACAAACCTTTTATGAGCATTACATCATTTCATTTTCTTAGCCACCCTTTTATTTGGAGAAATTGAGACTTGGGGAGGGTAAATAACTGGCCAACATCACCCAGCCAGAAAATGGTGGAGCCAGAATTCAGACCCAAGCCTTACTTTGTTATTCTCAGATCCAAGGCTACTGGCACGTGACCGTGCCTGCCCGTCATTGTCATAGCATGCTCTGCAGAACCTCAGGCTCCTCAGCCCCCATAAGGGACATCAAGACCAATTCGGTAGCAATGGGGACCAAGAACACAGACACCCACCCAGCTTCAAGCAGAGAAGTTCTCATTTTCTCTACTTCACATGTGGGCCTTCCTGATTTCATCCAACTTTTACTAGGGGGAACAAAATGGAATTAGAAACCACTGTGCTGGACCATGCTGCTTCCTAGAATAATTCCATCACCAATTTGCTGTGGGATCCTGGTCAGCCACTTCTTCCTTCCGTTCTTATACAAGAAAGACTGGATGACAATGCTGAAATCCTATTGTGCTTCTTAACTTTCCAGAGAGAAGATTAAATGAAAAGCTCGTTTAATGAATGAAAATGGCTGGACCACCTTGAATAAAATTCTAGATAAAGTTGTGATTCCATCAATGGCAGCAAATAGAAGGATATGATCAATTACCAGGTGGATCCTCATTGACTCGTTGCCGGATGCCTAGGCTGATGCCTGCCAATAGCATCTAACTGAGACTCAAAAAGCAAACAGGAGCCCGTCTTTTGGTAACCAGCACATGACAGGATACCGGGATCTTAGTAGACAGTCCACAGAGGCTCATCCACTTACCCATAGAGATGTAACAAATGGATATACTGATTCTCGAAGAATTCATAACTGGAAATAATGTCGCCCTCTTCTATGGTTTGACCATTTTTATACCATGTTACCTCTGGCTTGGGCTGACCTGATGATACAGAAAAAGAACATTCTTATTAAATTAAGTAATTTTACAAAAAAAAAAAACCTCATAAAGCTATGAACAAGAAAGGGTAATAAGCATGTTATCTGCCTACCCTGGGGCTGTGCTGGGGTGGGGATGGGGCATACAGAATGGAAAATGCTGTCTCTAATTTCAAGAAACTATTATGAAAAATTATCTAAAACTTAGAAATAAGGCAAAACATGGATAATATCTTCTTTCAATGTCATATGGGAGCAGAGGTCCATTGAAGAATTATCTAGGGGAATGTACTTAGTTCCACTCAATAATTACTATTGATTAAAATTCCCCCTTTAGTGAATTTACATGTAAACTTGTAGATTTTTGTCCAATAGAGTTGCAAATAGTCTCTGTGTCTGGCAGAAAAGTTAACTCCCTAAGTTATGGCTTATTGCCCCGATAGGACATTAGCCACTGTTTTACCTAACCCAGCAATCCTAGCCTAATGTTCCTTTACTAAATTGTCTACTAATACGTAATTCTTCAAATGTTCTCTGATCAGGCCCCAATACTTTCTGGTTCCCTTTTTATTTAAAGAGTTGAAAAAAATCTTTGAAATGTTAATTTCATATTTGCTTGGGAGTCACTTTATCTTTCTCAAAGTTATACATTAACAGCACTTAGAGCTGATTGTAAGTTATGGTACAAAAGAGAGAAGAATGAAGTGGATTAGCAAGTGCCGTGTCTTTCTGAGGATGAAGGAGTCTGGAATGTAGGTTTCCCAGGCCAGTACTGTGCATATGTGACTGATGTCACCACAGAAAGTGACCTACGCTTTCTCCCTCAGAAGGCCTTTATCCTCCCTGGTGATCATTAACTGAAGGACATGTGAGTAGGTTAATCTGGTAAAGCCCCAGGAATTCCATTCACACCTTGGGATTCCCCCCCACCCCACCTTGTGATGGGTCAGGAATTTCTAGTGTGTCCCAAAGAGCTTTCTTGGTAGCCTCCATGTCATTGAAAAGGAATTGGAAATGGTAAGAATTCCTTCTTTTTTTACAGCAGCGTAGTATTCCATTGTGTAGATGTACCACATTCTAATCCACTCATCTGCTGATGGGCACTAAGGCTGTTTCCAAATCCTAGCTATTGTAAATTGTGCTGCTATGAACATAGATGTAAGAGATCAACGGAACGACTTGTATGCATATGAGCATAAGCAATGGACACAGACAGTAGGGGGATGAGGCGTGCTAGGGGACTAAGGCTGTTTCCAAATCCTAGCTATTGTAAATTGTGCTGCTATGAACATAGATGTAAGAGATCAACGGAACGACTTGTATGCATATGAGCATAAGCAATGGACACAGACAGTAGGGGGGTGAGGCATGTGCTAGGGGCTGGGAGCAGAGAAGAAGAGGTCAATGGGAGAAAAGGACACTCATGTAATACTTTAAACAATAAAGACTTTAAATTTAAAAAAGAAGTGAATTGGAATGTGCTATAGGCACGGGAGGAAAGTCTGGTATTTGGAAAAATACACCTTTCTCAGTCCATCCTAGGAACAGTCTTATATTTTCTGTCTTATTTATCTCATGACTTTTGGCAAGCAACCCCAGACACCACTAAGAGAAGGACTCTATGTTCTTCTGAGACCCGTACCTTGGAGATACCTGGGACTGCTCAGAGCCCGCCCTCTCTCCCTGTCCATGTCTCATCTAACTTGGGGTCTCCTGGCAGGACTACCTCCGTGCCAACACCATGAATGTGCTGAGTGGCAACTGCGGGTGTTCCTCTTTGCCTCCGCCTCCAGGCAGGCGCCTGAATAATCAGTCTCTGGAGCCAGGAGCAGACAGACCTGCATGCAAGGACTCGTACTTCATCCGCAGTGTGTGGCTGGATCTCTTTCAGACAAATGACTAAACCACCAAAAATGAGCTTCCCTGAGAAGCCATCAAAGAGGTTGCTGGCCATAACTCATTTTCACCTGTTCCTATCAGCCTCTGTCTCCCTTTGAGTCTGTTTTATTCTATTCCTTTTTAGGGCGCATTGAATTGCTCTTTTTGTGTGTGTGCGTGACTTTTTCGAAGAAAGTAAGTAAAGTATGCATGAGCTGGGTCCGGGGCACTCGTTGTGCTCTCTGGGGCTCCGGTGTTCCATTCAGACTGATCAGACCTCCAGCTGCTTCGTGGCTGACGGTTTGTTTCCCTTTGTGCGATACAGATCTGAGCAATCAGCCAGAAATGAGACTTGCACAGTGAATTGTACCTTGTGGGTGGTTCTCTTTTCTCCCTCTGTTTGCTGGAAACTTCCCCAAAATCCTACCTTTGTTTTTAAAACCTACCTGCAGGCCACAGATTGAGACTCACCTCCAACTTTTCACAAGAACTTAGCTAATGTGTGTGTGTGTGTGGCAGCGACGGGGTGAGTGGTGGTTGGGGCGGGGGGTGCCAGTAATAGGGTATGTCCAAACACTGGGGCTTTCTGGGGAGACAAGAGGGCCCTGTTCTGAAGCTCAGGAGTGGAGCTGTGCCTGTCCCTCTATCTGAATGGCTATGGATACACCCCAAGAAAGAATGGGGCCCAGCTCTGGGCTTGGAGAGGCTGAGGGCACATCCTACACTCCAGCGTCCAGGCAGAGACCAGACTCTGCTAGGACTCTGGCTAAGGAAGTGCCTCCATTTCAGAGGCTGGCCCCACTCTCCGGACTTAGAAGAAGGGATCAGGGGGAGAAGAATTTTCTGTTTGTCCTCACAAAACACCACTGGGGCCTCCATGTTTTTGAGGGTAGAGCCATAATCCAAGAAAGAAAGAAAGAAAACAGTGCACCAGGTACAAGATTCCACTTTCCTACCCAATTATTCTTCTACACTCTTTTCATCAATCCTTTCCACGTGTGTGTGTGTGGGGGGGGGGGTGTACAAATTCTGAGTCAGTTCTGGGCTATTTATTCTCTGGCCCAGGAGGAATTCCGGGCCCCTCCTTTTCTTCCACTGGGCACCTCTCCCTGGTGTTAACCTTTTCACTGCTGACTAGCACACCCGAAGAAGGTAAGCAGTGGGGACAAGAATTTAGCCAGTTTGGGGATAGCAATAAAAGAACAATGGAAGAAGGGGTCAATAAACGGTCTGAGGTAAGGTTATTCACACACTCCCATGGGCCACAGGAAATCAAGGGAGGAGTATCTGGAAAAACAACCAGTGTGGAAGCTGCCTAGCCAAGAACCACAACATGAAGTGATGATCACTAAATGTGTCCAGGAAGTGAAATCTTTTAGGGGGAAAAAAATCATAGGTTTAATTGCTCAACTGGCTACTTGGAATAAACTTCCCAGGTAATTTTCCCAGGTGATGTTTTTTTAGTCATGCCTTTGTGGGCCAAAGAACCCGATTGGCAGGGAGATAAGTGTCAGAGGGCGATCGGCTAGTGATGGTTACCAGATATTATGCAGCGAAGCACGGTGTCTGACTTCTCAGGAACCTTCTGGGAGAGCAGCATGGATAAGAAACACAGTGTGCGCCTCTGAGGCCCTCCTGAGTCCGTCATCCTCTCATGCCACGTGGATCTGAAAAATAAAGGTGCCCAGCATCACCATTTGTTTGGGGACTCGTCTGACTTTCCCAGGAGTTAGAGAAATGGAGAAGGAGAAGGAGCGTGGCGCTGCTCCCGGGCTTATCCAAGGCTGGGATTGGCGCTCACGCCAGTGGAACCTGGAAAGCAAAGAGCGCCCTCTGCGCCCGTGTGAACCCAGCCCTATATAAGCCAGTACAGCCGCAGTTCTGGAAGCCAGGCTTTCGTTAGAGTGCGCTCTCTTGATTCATCAAGCTCCTCCCTTCCTCCTGTCCCTCCACCTTGTTTTCAGTAAACCTTTTTTTTAAAAATATATTTTTATTGATTTCAGAGAGGAAGAGAGAGTGAGAGAGAGACAGAAACATCAACAATGAGAATTATTGATTGGCTGCCTCCTGCATGCCCTATACTGGGGATCAAGCCCACAACCCAGGCATGTGCCCCGACCAGGAATCCAACCATGACCTCCTGGTTCATAGGTCAACGCTCAACCACTGAGCCACGCCGGCTGGGCAGTAAGCCTCTATTTTTAAATCTGTTTAGTCTCCTCTCTTGATTGCTATCTTGCGGGGAGGGGGCAAGAGCCCCCTTCACTGGTGACACTCAGACAGGCTTTCTCACCACAGCACTGCTGGCATGTGGGCCCGGCACTTTGTTGTGGGGTCTGTCCTGGCTTCAACCCACTGGATGCCAAGTGGTGACAATCAAAAATGTCTGCAGACATTGTCGATGTCCCCAGGGAAGGGCAGCCCTGGTTGAGAACCCCCAGTCCTAGAGGATGGCAGGACAGCCAGAGCCCAGATGGACAGGGAAGACACTCATGAGCCACAGCTGGGGCCACCTCCTCTCATTTTTCTTTCTCTCCTCCAAGTCTCTCCATATTAGACTCAAAAAGTGCATATTTGCCTCCAAAAAGAAGAGCTGATTAAATGCAAAGGAATCTCCAGGTGGGAGGTGTTCTGAAATTGGGAAAGTACTGCCCACAAGAGCACTAGACAGGTGCCCCCGGAGGGCGATGACAGTGTTTTCCCACAAGCACGCTTTCATTGCTACAAGTCGACCATAACATCTGATTGGTCGCCAGGTGTGTTGTTCATTCCCTATGTGAAACCTGAAAGGTCTCTGAATATCAGGGTTAAAATTTTTAATTTAGGAGAATACACTTCCTTTCTCAGGAAGAGTGTGTGCAGGAGCTGAGGTTTAACCAACCCATGAAAAGGGTAGAAAACGCTGTAAGTTGAAGAAGTTGTATATTAGCATCAAAAAGGAAAAAACCACTTGGGTGTGGGACAGAGCCCGTGGGCTGCAAGGGAAGTTTGAGGGCTGCAGGGATATGTGGGGAAGATGGAGCCAGTGAGATTAAAAGGAGAATTTTGAGACATTTTGGTCTGTGGTGATGAATTGGATCCTTTTGACATTCTTTAACAAAGACTTGAATTGCATTTCCAGTTATTTGTTGTTATAGGACATTTTAAATGCAACCATGCTGAGATTGGACCTCAGGGGGTTCCTGGCTCATTCATGTGTTATATTTAAAAGCATCATAGGCCCCTCTCGATGTAGACAGTAAATTGGTTGCACAGAAGAGGAAGAAAATCCATCTGCAGGGTGGCAAGTAGACCCCTCCATCCCAGATTAAGTGACAGGTACGCTCGATTGTTGAGGATTGGAAGGTTCTAATAGGTATGAACAGGTCACAATTGACATGTATTTGTATTTAGTTAAAAGTCATAGGGATATCTAATGGGAAAGTTGTTCTTAACAAGGTTGAAAGAAGTATCTAAAAACAACTCAAAAGGGCAATGTTCATGCTAGCCATCTTGCACAAGAATGAAAATGTTTAAACTTGGAGAGTGTTATTGAGTTATTGTTGAATCAAGGAATAAGCCAGAGCAAGTGTGGGTCTGACAGTGCAGAGAGAACCAGGAAAATGGGTGGTGACATGCTGTCCTCCCGCTGCTGAGGAAATTGGGTCCATCCCTGCACAGCACGTGCAGAGAGAAGCCACCTGTTATCACCATGCATTTACTCAGCCCATTCTGAGGTCTGAGCTGGAGCTCTGGGTGTGATTTGAGATACAAGTTGTTATTTCTCCGGATTATTGAACAAATAACTTTCAGGGCTCAATATAAGCATAAGAGAGGAAGAAGGAAATCTAAATCCAATTTCAAATTTTTTATGGTATTTCACAACTAGAAGGCAATTTGAATTCACGATCTCATCTACTGTCCTTCAATCACTATAAAATATGAACAAGGGTTGGGGAACGTATAAATGTAGAGAGAGGGAGAGAGAGAGAGAGAGAGAGAGAGAGAGAGAGAAATGATATAAAAAGACAGCGAGGGTTAGATTTAGAATCATCCCCTAAATAAAGATACTTTGTGCATTTATTGCTGGTCTAGTAAATTTCCCAAAGATGAGGAATATGCAATTTATATATTTTGAATCCACAAGTTAGTATATTGATTTGGACAAGGCACATAGTCAGGCTTCATTATCCAAGAAGGGCAGTGGACCAGGAGTCAGGAGTTGTCGTCCTCAAACACTTCCATTTATCATTTTGAATGGTGACCTAGCACAATTGTTAAACGGTCCGGAGCCAGCCTCCCTGGGTTCAGGATTTTCTCCTGACTTAGCTCAATAGACATGTCACAACCTCTCTGTGCCTCAGGCTCCTCCACTGTAAAACGGAGGCGAGCTAGTTGTAGATGCTTCATAGGCTGCTGTGAACATTAAATGAGCTGTCGCCTATAAAACACTTAGTACAGTGCCTGGCACAAAAGCGCAGGCTCAGTAAATGTTAGCACTCATCTTTTTTTAAAGTGCAGCTTCAAGTTGGAAACACCAGTTCATCTGACCTGTTGATGGGCAGTGATGCTGATATATCTGTAAAACTTCTCTTCTAACAACTTTAAAGAGGTGTAATTCACATATAATTCACCCACTTGGAAGTGTACAATTCAATGGCTTTCAGTATATTCAGTTATGCAACCACCACCACAATCAATTTTAGAACATTCTTAGCACTTCAAAAGGAATCCTACACTCCTTAGTTTCCCCCTCTCCATCTTCCCGTCCTCCCCTGGAACACACATCCAGCCCTGGGCAACTACTGATCTACTTTATGTCTCTATGGACCCACCTATCCTGGACATTCTATACTAACAGAATCATATAAAATGTGATCCTGTGTGGCTGGCTTCTGTCCTTGGGCATCTTGTCAAGGTGCATCTGTGATGTAGCAGGTACCAGTACTTCAGTCCTTCTGTGGCTGATCTGCAGCTTCCTCAGAAATAGCCATTGCGGCAAAGGGATGATGCCCTGCTCTCCACCCTCCTAGGAGTCTTACCCAGACAAGGTGGGTGGTGAGGCAGAGAGGGAGCTCTCCTGGCTGGAAAACTCTCCTGACTGGCAAGCAGCATAGGACCACACCCAGGCTTTGTCACCTGCTGTGGCCAAATCTACCTGCAGCTCTGCCACTTGCCTAGCCCAGGTACCGAGCCTGTGTCCTCATCTGTAGAAAGAGATAATGATACTGTTCTACGACTTAGAATAATGTATGTCAGTGGCCTAGGAAAAACCTGTCATGTAATAGGTTTTCAAGATGGCAATCATTAGGCTGCAAGGAAAGACTTCATTTGTTTCAGCCTTTTCTGCTGTGGGTTACCACAGTGATTTTTTTTTAAGTGATATGCCAATTAATGTCTAAAAATCTCTCCTGGTATACCAGCCATCTGTCATCATAATTTACAAGACATGACTCCTCATATCCCCATTCTCAGGGTCCACCGCTAAGGATGGAGGGAAGAAAGGGCAAATCAGGCAGCCCAGAGTTGAGGTGACACTGAGGACCTCATGCGGCATCGATGACTCCTCCCCAGGTGACTGCTTCCTGACAGCGATGTCCCACAGGTGACCACACTGACGAACACACCGGTTGACTCACTTAGTTGGTTCAGTCACCGCAGGCGCGGGGCGCTGACTATGAAGGAAAGAACAGTTAAGTCAGGCGTGTTTCATGTTTCGTGGCTCCTCTGAAGGCGAGAACCCTTGAAGACAGATTTATCATTCTGTGCTAGAGCTGGATACCAGTATAGGATTACTGACATTCGGAGAAGGGGCCGCAGTGGGGTTCACGGACAACCTTGGCGAAAGAACGCGTAAACCGCAAAGAAGACAAGATTTGCGTTTTTGAGCTGTTTGCTTTCTTTTAAAAATGTTTTATCTTGAATCTTACAAAGCCTAAATGCGTACATTCCTATTCTTTAAAATACATAAAAGGTAAAGCCTCCCATAAGCACTAACCCTCATCACAGGACTTTCCCAAGAGGAGGTGCTGGCTGTCCTTTCGGGCATCTTTCTCTCCACGGACAGATCTAGTCCTTTAAATACACTGAGTGGCCAGATTATTATGACCTCCCCATCAGTACTTCATTGACACTTACAAAAATACTGAATACTGAAAACTTCCTAAGCAAATACTCTCAAGGTTTTATTTTTATTATTATTATTATTATTATTTGCATAACTAATTCACTTCATTGTACTGATGGGGTGGCCATAATAATCTGGCCGGTCATAATAATCTGGCCACTCAGTGTATATATTTATTAATGTTGTTGTATGTATGGCATTAACCTGCATATTCTTGCCATGCAGTCGGCTTATCTTACTTAATAGTATGTTCTGGCAGTCTGACAAGGTCAAGCCGACCCAGAAAGGTTGCATCATTTTGTAAAAACTGCTCGGTGATCTCAGCGCTGCGTGGCACGGCAATACCACGCTTAACCTGTCTGTTCTTGTGTTGATGACGTGGATCTTGGCTGGAGTTTTATAGACTGACAACTGTGTCTCAAAGAACACTGTGGTCCATGCCATCTTGGGCACATAAGTGGTTCTCTGGTCTAAATGCCAGGAAATTGAATTGCTGGATAGCAATTACTCATGGGTAGCATTCACATATTACATTTGGATAGATACTCCAAAATGGGCAGG